CTAGCACTGCTGTGAATGGTTTCAGTTGTCCTTACAGCAGAACCCACTTCAATACTTCCTTAATCTGGGGCGCAGTGGGCCCTCGTCGCTATTTCTCGAACCAAATTGGCTATTCCGCTTTGCTTTATTTCTTCATCGTCGGTGCCATTTTACCCATCCCCGTCTATTATCTGACCCGCCGATACCCCAAGTCGCTGTGGAGAAGGGTTCATGTTCCCCTATTCCTCGGGGGCCTGAACTACCTGCCCCCTGCGACCGGAATGAATTACGGGAGTTGGGCAGTTGTCGGGCTCACCTTTGGCTGGCTCGTTCGAAAGCGCTTGCATAGCTGGTGGAGCAAGTATAACTTTGTGCTAAGCTCTGCCATGGACTCATCTGTGGGAGTTGCTGGGGCCTTGATTTTCTTGACAATTTATTTCACCGGAGCCAGCAAACATTTCAAGTGGTGGGGAACAGATGTCCACAAGGTGGGTTTGGCTTTCTTGCACTCACTTACTCATACTGACTATTAGCAGAACACTTGTGACTGGAAAGGCTGTGCACATCTTATCATTCCAAAGGGCGAAAAGTTCGACATGTAGAACTCCATGTCATCGTGTATCATCTACCTGAGATTTATCCACGTCTCGTGATCGATGCTTCAATTCTGAGTATGCCAAGAATGAGCATTTTGCACCTGGTTGGTTATCTGTTAATCTGATCGTATGGGGAATCTTTGTTTTGTTGACAAGCATTGATAAGACCAGTCCACTCTTAACAGCTGGATAGATAGCACAATAAGAGGATGAGCTTATAATATAATATGACTTCCTTCCAGTTCCCTCACGGCTAGAACATTCATTGAATCTTTCAAGTGGTATGGTATTTGTAGTATTTTTAGGTGGGTCCAATACGAAGTCGCCGATGTCGGGAATGATTGATTAGATCAGCCCGATTGATTAGATTTGGGAGGTTAGCACATTCGCACAATAAATGGTTGATAAGATATTGTATTTTGAGGTCAATTGAATGTTAAAAAAGCTGAACATCGAATTATTACATTATGCACTCCATACTAGGTCTTCTAGGGCTGCAGTACCTGGCAGAGACGGCCCAGGCACTGTCCTTCGTCTTCCGAAAAGCGAACACTAGTCTCGGAATGACGAGACCTTCCAAGAGTCAGTATCTGTAATTATTCACGCCTCGGAAGAGTGTCCCGGGCTGCTAAAATTACCTACTTTGTACATCCCAGGCAATGGGCTCCACTCAGACATCCTCCCAACTGATTGATAAACCCCTGTCATTAGATTCTGCAGGCAAATTATCAGATCCTGAGTGGAGTCCCGTGCCACGAGGATGTATTTTTTTTCTTCAATGCCGGTTATATTTTAACAATCAATCTTAGACTATGCTATCGTAACGGGAAACTTACCGAACGATCCCCGAGGCGATGACCGAGAGAAAATTTGGATGTCGAATCAGACATCTTGCTAAAAGAAAGATTCAGATACCTCATATTATGTCTGGATATTCAAGATCTCCGGTATCAGTCCACCTTAAGAAACAACATTGTCATTATAAAACAGATTCTCACAAGTATGAGGCCAGATTTTTGCACCCTTTCGAACGATCGACATTCGCGTATTATGTATGTCGTTAAAAAGCATTTCCAAAATCGTACCTTGCATATGTTCTCGCTGTAAAATGCAAGAGCAACATGTTGATACTGAATACTGCATATACAGGGACCAACATTTGATGTATACTTCGTACTCCGTACATCAGACGGAGCTTGCGTATCCCGCCAAGGTTCCAAGGTTCGCTTGAAATTTGAGTGGAGTCTTGTAAGACGCCAAGATCTAGAACCAACCAAGCATAAAAGCCAAATCCGTGAAATTACCAATACAGAACTTCCGATGTGGAGCCCCGGGCTATCTGATGGAAAATGGAATTAATGCAATTTATCTTGTGCGAAATTTGTCGCGGTATTGTCGGCTACATCTATAAACCCGCTCTGTCCAAGGGTTTTTTTTTTCTCCTGGTTTTCGTTTTTCCCTCAACTTTCATCTACTACCATGGCCGCCCCGAGAAGTGTACAGCGCTTGCAGCAGACACTGTCGCATGTACAGCCTCCTATTAGTCCGCAGCTGTCTCTTGTCGCAGGTCCGACGGAGCCACAGCTACTGGATATTACCTTGGGCGAGTTGTTGACGCTTCAGGCACTACAATATGGGAGAATTGAGTGCTTGGTCTTCCCCTGGACCGGTGCACGATGGACGTACGGCCAGCTGAAAGATGAGACCGATCGTCTAGCTCGAGGAATGTTGGCCTCGGGTATTCAAAAAGGCGATCGCGTCGGAATTATGGCGGGCAATTGTGAGCAATACATCTCGGTGTTCTTTGCGGCCGCCCGAGTCGGGGCTATTTTGGTCGTTTTGAACAACACGTACACCCCCTCCGAGCTGTATTACGCTCTCAATCACAGTGGTGGGTGATATCCACTTTCCGTATTATTAACCCCATGCTAACCTCGGCTTTTTGTTCTATTTCATTCAGAATGCCGAATGCTTTTCATGACACCACGCATTGGCCGTCATAATCTCGAGGAAGTCCTGAACCAACTTGGCCCTAACCCTAAGAAAGCTGCGACCTCGGAATCATTGGAGGAAATCGTCATTCTCCGCGAAAGCTACAACAACTTCACCACCTATCATGATGTCATGGAACGCGGCCTGTCGCAAGCTGCGCATGTGCTCCAAGACCGCGAGGCCGACTTACGGCCGGATGATGTCTGTAATCTGCAATTCACAAGCGGTTCAACAGGCAGTCCTAAAGCTGCAATGTTGACACATCAGTATGTGGGCCATGTACAACACTTCGTTTATGAAATATACCTAATTCCTCTGCAGCAATTTGGTTAATAACTCGCGTTTCATCGGTGACCGCATGAACCTCACCTCTTTTGACGTTTTGTGCTGCCCGCCGCCCTTGTTCCACTGCTTCGGCCTAGTTCTGGGTATGCTCGCGGTGGTCACCCATGGCTCCAAGATTATCTTCCCCAGCGAAACATTCGACCCCAAGGCGGTTTTACATGCCATCTCCGACGAGAAGTGCACTGCTCTACACGGTGTTCCAACCATGTTTGAGGCGATCCTTGCCGTTCCCAAGCCCTCAAACTTTGACACCTCAAACCTCCGCACAGGCATCATTGCTGGGGCCCCAGTCCCACGGCCACTCATGAGGCGACTCTTCGCGGAATTAAATATGACGGAATACACTAGTAGCTACGGTAATGTCCCTCCCAATGGCCGGCTGATCAAGTGCTAACCCAAGTTCTAGGTCTCACGGAGGCCTCACCCACTTGCTTCAATGCTTTCACCACCGACAGCATCCATACAAGATTGACCACCGTCGGAAAGGTTTTGCCCCACGCTCGCGCGAAGATCATCGATGCACAAGGAAACATTGTTCCCGTGGGTCAGCGCGGTGAGCTTTGCATGGCCGGCTACCAGCTCACGAAGGGATACTGGCATAACCCGGAAAAGACGGCAGAGACATTCATAACCGATGCCGAGGGTGTCAAATGGCTCAAGACTGGCGATGAGGCTTCCTTTAATGCTGAAGGATACTGCACTATTACTGGTCGCTTCAAAGACATCATCATTCGCGGTAAGCTTGAACCCACGACCCGGACATTGATGGCGATTTCTAATTCCGACATCTGATAGGCGGCGAGAACATATATCCTCTCGAAATTGAAGAACGATTGACCGCGCATCCCTCGATTGAGTTGGCATCTGTGATTGGTATTCCCGACCCCAAGTATGGTGAGGTTGTCGGAGCATTTATAGCGATCGCATCGGGCGCCGGTCGTCCGGCCGACCATGAATTGCGCACATGGACACGTGAGACACTGGGTCGACACAAAGCCCCGCAGCATGTGTTTGTATTTGGAGAAGAGGGGGCTTCGAGCACGGTTCCTGTGACAGGGAGTGGCAAAGTTCGCAAGGTGGAGCTCCGGCAAATGGCAATGGCGGTTCTGGCCGAACGCCAGAAGGAATGAACAAAAGTAGAAAGGAGCAAAAAATTGTACAGTCCTAGTGTTCGGCTAGTATAGAAACTCTAGAGTTTGAAAAAATACCCTCAGTCCCATTGACCAACTGCCTAATTGTGCACGAGAATAATTGCAATCCATAAATCTTCTTTTGAGACAAATTATGTAGGTAATTAAATGAGGGGCGTATCTTATCAGATTCTGTTATGATTCGCCCAGCCCGACGCTTGTAACTCCGAGTAACGACTAAAAGTGGGCCCTACAGCGAAATGCGGCATTTTCTTTGTTTGTTACGTCGGCTTTAGAAGTCCGCCTGGGCACTTCCCAGAATCAGATTAGATGTCCATCTTGTCTGATCGAAGATCGTTTCCATTCTGGGTTGTGTGGCTGTATTGAACCATGGAATCAATCCTGTATTGTACTTTACATGGATTACGGTCATTGAATCCAACCGTGAACGAATTCCTGGTCCACACAAAATATTCAATATTCAATGCAATCCTGTCATTTCTCCAGGGCTTCTTCTACATAGCACAAAAGGAGACTTGTGTATACACAGACGCAAAACAACTTTTGCGCGTGTACTCTAGGTATCAGCCACCATGTCGGTTCTGCCAAAAGAAAAGACGACTCGGGAGCCTGAGCTTTGTATTATCCCGGAACGACCCCTCACTGAGTAACCGGAGTTGATGTCGAGTCAATTACAACCGAGGGATGTTCTACCTTAGGCTCCATCGGATCTGATAATCCGAGCCAAGGACCCTGAAAGAGAAGCCAAGGAAGCAACCATGAATGGGCTATATCCGATGTCGGTTTCAATCTGATAAGATCCGGACCCGCATAATCCGATGATGTGACGATATGTTTTTTTTATTTTTGTTCGGCTACATAGCTCAGTTCCTTGGCTTTTTTTTTCTCTCGGTTTTTTGTTCCTCATTATTCTTTTCGCTTTCCTTTTGGTCTCTTTCTTCGGTTATTGCTTGTGTCACACCTCTCCTTCTCAACTCATCATGCCCTCCAACGACTTTGTCCGAACTGTATCTCGCAGCTTCCGAGTACTTGTGATCGGTGGCTCTTATGGCGGTCTATCTGCTGCATTGGCCCTCATTGATCTTTCACAGGGTCGTCTCACCCGTTTCAACTACAATGCCGATGCTGAAGCTCCTACACATCGCATTCCGATACAGATAACTGTAGTTGATAAGCGAGATGGCTATTGTAAGCTTTCTAGAAGATCAATCATTCTTCCGCTATGAGACCGCGGCTCACATGTGTAGATCATCTGATCGGATCTCCAAAGGCCCTGGCCTCTGAAAAATTCGCGCCCGAAGCATGGACTCGTTTCCAAGATATTCCCGGGCTCAAGTCTCCGGATCTCAGCTTTATCCAGGGAAGTGTCAGTTCAGTTGATTTCAACACCAAAGAAGCCCAGATTGTCGATGCAGAGACCAAGAACAGCCGCACGGAGCCCTATGACTACTTGATTGCAGGTTCAGGGCTACGTCGGTCTTTCCCCACTGTTCCCCAATCCTTGAGGCGAGAGGAGTTCCTCAAGGAAGCCAGAGAACATATGACGGATGTGAAGCAAGCCGAGGATGGCATCGTTATTATTGGTGGAGGTATGTGTTATCTGTCACTTTCTGCTACTTTCACTCCCGGCTAATGTCTCTTTTTCGTGGATAGGCGCTGTAGGTGTGGAGATGGCTGCCGAATTAAAGATCCTTTACCCAGAACAGAAGGTCACTCTGGTCCACTCTCGAAAGCGCTTGTTATCTTCGGAGCCGTTGCCGGATGACTTTGCCGAGCGCGTGGATTCTATATTGCGCGATACAGGAGTTGGGGTCATCCTAGGACAACGCGTTATCGACACGATCGCGGTGGACACGAAAAATGGGACACGAGTCTGGAACCTCACGCTGGGCGATGGCCGACAACTCAAAGCTGGTCATGTTCTAAAGGCTATCTCTCAAACCGTCCCAACATCGACATATCTGCCTAAAGAGGCATTGAACGAGGAGGGATACATCAAAGTGCATCGCTCGTAAGTCTGCTTCCTCGACCAATTGTTTACGGAACGTTTCTAATATCTCTGCAGACTACAATTCTCCGGTGCCATTCCTAACCCAGAGCATCATTGGGCAGTAGGGGACCTCACTGCGTGGGAAGGTATCAAGCGCTGTGGCGGTGCAATGCATATGGGCCATTACGCGGCACTTAATATCCATCAGCACATGATGGCAGAGTGCACTGGTGGAAAACCAAACTATCAGACCTTGCAGCCATTCCCAGCTGTGATGGGTCTAGCTCTCGGCAAAACGGCCGTCAGTTATACGCCGGGCGAGGGCACACGTGAGGGCGAAGACCTGATGAAGACCTTGTTTGGCAAAGACATGGGACATACCAGTGCGTTTTTATCATCCGAAAATTGTGTTAATTGAAAAGCTGACCCGAATTGCAGTTTGCTGGAACTATATGCGTCTCGGTGAGGCGTGCTAGGCGTGGCCTAGTAGATCTGGGATGTGTTGGGGTTCATTGCATTTTGATGTTAGTCTTGTGCAATGTTGGACTTTTTCTTTTCTTTTCCTTTTTGGACAATAACTAGATTCTCGACTGTTACATGTTGGCGTTTGGTGTGAGTTGAGATCCTTGATATAAGTCGATCTATAACACTCAATTAGAATTCGTTGTTTTGACTTTTTGCCCTGGCATTGCATATCTCATTTGGTTAGAATCGAGAATGAAAAAAGAATAGGAAATAGGAAATAGGAAAAGATCTCACTGGAGACATAACAAGCCTAGCTTCACTCTTCGACACATAACCTACCACTTTTGGCTTATTCACCAAGTTTATTTGAGGATCGGGGAATATAAAAAAAGGTTGAATGTACGTTGAAGATGATTTGAGAAGATTTAGAATATTTGAAGTAATTAAATTTTGGGGAATACATGAACTTTCATACCAAAGTGCCTATAGTAGTATACATTTCACATCTCTATATCTCCCAAGGTCTCTAGGACTAAATTTATAAATTTATACGTTTATAGATCTTCTGGATGATCTTAGTCAAATTCCAACTTTTGTTGTACACATCCGAGGTCAATTCATCTGCTTAGAAATCCGGGTTCCACTTGATTCTGTCCCATTCCTTGGCTTCATATAAAAAAAAACCATTCCTTTATTTTACTGTGTAGATTGTATGTTGTATATTTCACCTCATTTATATCCACAATGACACCATTCGGCACTATCTACTCCTATCAGCCCAATCCTCGGGTCATGAAGGTAAACAAACCATGGTCAATGCCCCTGAACCCTGAGCTAACCCCCACTATTAGGCCCAGGCTGTGGCCAACCTGAATGGCCTGGAGATAGCGGTTCCGGAATTCATCATGGGCAAGACCAATCGCACCCCGGACTTCCTGTCCAAGTTCCCTTTGGGTAAGGTGCCCGCTTTTGAGGCTGCCAATGGAACAACCCTGTTCGAATCGGATGCCATCACTCAATACATTGCCGAGAGCGGCCCGGCTGCCGAGCAGCTCATTGGAGCTACCCCCGCCGAGCGCGCCACCATCCGGCAGTGGATCTGCTATGCAGAGGGTGAGATTCTTGGCCCTGTCATCCAGTTGGGGATGTGGCGTATCGGTATGCGGCCCTACGATGAGAAAATCGAGGTTACCAATCTCGAGCGTCTGGAACGCTCGCTGGAATGCCTAGAGACCCACCTCAAGGACCGCACCTGGTTTGTAAGCAATGAAAAGTTCAGCTTGGCTGATATCACTGTTGCCGCTGGCCTGGTCTGGGGTTTCTCCACGGCCATCGACGCTGAGATGCGCCAGAAGTTCCCCTCTGTGGTCACCTGGTACGAGCGGATCCTCGAGGCTGAGGGCGTCAAGCAGGCCTTTGGTGAGAAGAACTTCGTTGAGAAGCGTCAGGGTCCCCAGGCTTGAAGCTTAAGGTTTTTCTAAATGTATATATATATATAAATTAGCAAAGAATTAAAACATTATATTCCGCTTCCCGAAGCACCCGAATCTTAAAAACGAAAAGACTGCAGCATAATGCTAGGGACATCTTAATATATAAACAACTAGCTTCCAAGTGGTCCAACTGAAACAGTACATATTGACAAAACTTGAAAAGATATTCACGGGCCATTCCATCAAAGACGAGCCATCCTGCCATCACCTCGTACCGTTCCCATCGCCCGCGCGAGGTTTCGGCTGGCCCAATCAGCGATCGCCATATTGGTGACCATTGGGTTCACACCGCTAGCGCTAGGGAAGACGGACGCATCCACAACATACAAACCGTCAGTGCCCCAGACTTGACAATCCGGATCCACCACACCTAATTTAGATGACTTGCTCATGCGGCAGGTACCCATCTGGTGTGCACTGGCAAATAAACTACGCTCCGGGTCCAAAGGAGACTTCCGACGAAGCTCGGCAATCCAACTCTGTAGGGCCGCGTCATTGATGCCTTCAGGGGCCTCGGGGTCTGAAGCCTCTGGCCGGATGAACGGGGAAAGGTCGCGGTAAACGGTATGGAACTCTCTTGCGCCTGTGATATACGCAATCTTGGCGCTGGCAATAATGGCCTCCACGATGTGTTTTCGGTCAAAGGCAGAGACCTCGTAAGCAATCCGGCAGCGTCCATCAACAGGATCCGGGTACACGCGACCAGAATCGCGGTCTTTGGTTAGAGTGATGAAGCTCGTGCTGCGACGCATCTTAGCCGCCCATAACTTGTACTCCAATGAGTCTCGCCAGGGGAACATGGGAATGAACAGGGGGGGCATCATTGAGAGAGACTCAATCTTCACACCATGTCCATCTCCATCAAGGTCCTCAAACTCGTTGACAACCGTTGTCAGTGCAGAGCCCTCCCAGGGGTGGGTATCCTCGTCAAAGACAGCACCAGCTCCCATAACTGTATAAAAAAAGAGTAAGTACCTATGACATGCGCTGTGGGGGGGAGTGAAAAGTGCTTACCTGGGTGAAGATAAAGGTTTCGGCCAATCTGGGGGTTCTTTAAACCACTACGCAGCAGCAGAAGAGGACTCTGCAATGCGCCAGCTGATACAATTACTTTCTTGGCCTTGATAATCACCTTACGCTCCACAGCTGCAATGCCACCGAGGCCCAAGTATGAATCCCGCGACTTCCATGTTCCTTGCACACCAGAAGCAACCTTTCTGCCGTTGATCTGGGTGAATAGCACTTTTTCGACACAGAATCCTTCCATGAATCTGGCGCCAGCCTGAGCAGCGTCCACAAGGAACGACTCCGTTGGACCTTTCTTTCCACCCGAGGCGCATCCCAACGTGCAATGCCCACAGTAGTGCTCGTCGTGGCCTGTATTTTGGGGCACGGTTTTGGCAGCATAGCCGAGTTTCCTTGCGCCTTCAAGAATTACCCTATTCTGGCGATTATGCTCAACGTGCTCCTCGTTAACACCCATGCGATCACAGACGCGGTCCAGGCTTTTCTGGAAATCAAGAGAGGTGAAGAAAGGCAGACCAGTATCCGCCCACTGCTGTCGGACATATCCCTGGGTCTGTAGAGACGCCGACCAGTTAATGGTACCACCACCGCCCCACGTTGATCCCGCTAGGACTGCCATCGAGCCATCATCGCTAGAGATAGCACCCCCGTTCTCAAACAGGCTAAGGAACCCTTCATTCGGGCCCATGGGGAACGTGTTGGATGGATAGGAATAGGACTTTTCCACAACCAGCACTCGATGGCCCGCTTCGGCTAGGTTCTTTGCAGTCACGCTGCCGCCGCAGCCACTCCCCACAATAACGACATCGGTTTCAATCATTTCTGGCTGGTCTCCAGGAGGGAACTGCAAAAACTCATACTGGAAACCGTCGGCAGGCTTGCCATGAACAGGGATGCGTGGGAAGCCCAGAACCGGGTCTATGGTTGGACTGCTGATAATCCAACATTTCTTAACGATGGCAGTGAGTCCTCGGTAGATGGCGCGGAGAGGGGGCAATCGAGAGGTATCCCATCCACGTAAAACCTTTTCCCGGAATTTCACCGGTTGATCCTGGATCGGAGTGGTCGAGCCCGTCATAATTAGCGAGCCCGTACGGGTGTTGAGCGCTGTCATTATGAACCCAATCCCATTCCTTCCCTGGCCATGCACATGGTCACCCATGAGTCGCTCCACTATGGCCCGGAATTGCGGGTTCGAAGAAACGTTTTCTTGTAGATACTGGGTGGCAATGTTTACGGCATCGGGTCCAGAAATGATCGTTGACAAGCTCGACACGGCAGAATTCCACTCTGCCTCTGAAATGACTTGGTCATTTGATGAGTTGGCAGTTGCCACAGTGTGTATGGAGGGCACAATTGCGTCGGCCAGCGCATATAAGGTCTTCCACTGTAACTCCGAGAAGTAATTGGCTGAAGGCGCTGGCGGAAGAGGGACATCCCTCGGGGCGTATGTAGACACAGCGTGGGTTGACATGTTTGCAAAAACCAGGGCAAATAAAGCTCTTGTGGACCTAGATCCAATGGTAGAATGGGAATAATGTAAGAAGTGAGACTGTGGAGCAAAGAGAGAAGAACTTGGGCACGGGTGACGGATTATAATATGCTAGCCCGACAAGGTTCCACTGATGACAAGAGGTCAATGTTCAAGAGTTTAAAGTGGTCCATCTTTAGTCTGGACGATCGTGGAGAGAGAGTATAAACTTCTCTATAATGCGACTGTCATATGCGGCCCCTTCCAATCCCAAGCCCAACACAATAATCCGGGGGTGAAGCCTCGGTTGAGTGGAGAAGTAGTTGAGCATGGTTATTTGATTCTTTGCGACGGTGGAGACTTTGAATCTCCTGCCAACCAGTCAAGACCGTGCAAATCTTCATTGCCGGATTTCAAGGCCTAGGTTCCCACCTAAATTCCCTAGAGAAGTAGATCCCCCTCTTTTTCCGAAACAAGGGTGTTCACGGGCTCATTTGCGGGGGAATTTGCCGAGTTCCAACCCCATGTGAGAGAATCGGCTTTGCGCTGATGAGACTTTTAACCCTGATCGTAGGAAACTTCAGATCAATTCAATTTCAATTTCACGGCATGGTAGTTGTGTCTATTGAGTATTGAGTATTGTGTAGTAGGTAGGAGGCAGTAGGTAGGAGGTCGTTGTGTTGTGAACCAGGCAAAATGGTAACTTCTCCGCTTCCGACACCTCGACCTGTCTCATCACACAATGGAGATACGCACTATCAGTCACTCTAGCAAAAGTAATCTGCCTTCAGAGAAAGTCTTCTCTATCCAAATTGGTTCTGAGATCTTTCGTCTCTCGGGTGCTTCAATTGCCTCTGACGGTAAACGCGCTTGGTCCTCCCCCCCGGTTCAAACTTGAACTGACCCCTTCCAACAGCTCCTTCCTACTTTTCCCACTTCTTCGAGAATCAGTTGCTTCAGAGTCAAGATGCTGCCAACGCCAGAACCCTCTATATCGATCGCGACCCCACGACGTTCCGCGAGATTG